ATTAACACTGTTTAAGTTTTTATGAACATTTGCAAAGAAAACAGTCAAATTTTCCAGCCGACTTGAACGCATCCTAACGCAGCACGCTGCTGCTACACTTTTAATTGGTTAAGCTGACATATAATTCCTTTGTGCTCCAAACGGCTCCAAAACAGAACGCGGCAGCGGCACACAGGATCATTGAGAAGCATTTCCTTTGATGGTATTTACGTTAATCAGTATTAAACTAAACAAAGTTTAACGGGAAGTAAGGGTCATGTTTAACCTCAGTGCTTGTGCTTAGCATTACCTATGAGTATTACTACTGCAATTACTAGTCTCACGAAAGGAACAAATACCGTCACAGTGGCGTGAAGACGCTTAAAGAACATGTCATTAGCAAAATGTTCAGCAGTTGGGTAGAATTATTCATATTCATATTGGTCTGTGTAATGCAGCATATTGGTGCATTGAGAGCCATGTGTATGACGAGGCAACATTCCTTGCTTTGGGGAAAACATTCAAGTCAGATTTAGAAGACCTCCAGTTTGAGCTTCATCAAACGAAAGGGCCGTCTTCTCTGCTCGAGTTTTTTTTTTTTTGTGTGTGTTTTTGGAAACTTCCAGAAAGGTTTTCCATGAACTTTTTAGACTTAGTAAAATTTGGCTTATGATTCCAGTTAGCACTGCATCCTGAGAAAGAAGTTTCTCTGCCCTTAAATTAATAAACACCCTCCTTAGGTCAACAATAGCAGATGATAGATGAAGTCACCTGGAAATACTGAGTGTTGAGTCATGGAGGGCAAATTCCCTAAATATGGAAGACTATGTGAAACATTTTGCTTCATTTAACCAGAACTGCAGAGTTTTGCTGTTCTGATTGTTTTTCTTAAACTTGGTGTTGTCATATCACTGGGCAGGGTCAGCTATAGTCAGTTTTAAAGGGCTGTGTGTTTTTTTTTCTTTTTTTTTGTTCTATTATGATTCTTCTCTCCTTGTTCTGACAGGTCCAAATTTACCTCAAGTTTTTGTTTCCTACTGGATTTGATTAATCCAAAGAGCACATTGAGTATTTGTTTACTTCTGTTTTGCTGTATACTTAATTTATAATACATTGTACAGTACATCATTGTATACATTTTGAAAAATCAACAACTTTAATTTAATCAATATACATTTTGCGGAATACAATTGTTAGTAATGTAAATGAACTCTTTATATATTGACCGCCCCAAATAAAACCTTAACACCCCTGTTTTAACAGTCTAGCTCCGCCACTGAGTTGGTGCAGCTCTGCTTTCTTTACATTCAAAAAAGCGCCTGTTGAATATTTATTTTCTGCTCTTTATAAACTGACCCAATAAAACGGGGGACATTTACCCCATTTACACTACGCTTGAAAAACCGATCCATGCTGAGACAAGAGTTTTCCGAGCTCGG